ATCGATTTTATCGATTTTTTGAAAATTTGAGATAGGGGGCTGGAATTTGGCACAAGGGTGCAATCGAGCATGCTGATCACCCCCCTTGGGGATGATCAGCATGCTCGATTACCCCCCTGTGCCAACTCCCAGCCCCCTAGCTCAAACTTTGCAAAAAATCAATAAAATCGATAAAAGTAATCGATAATCCCGAAAACCAATATTGTATTCGGAATCCCCATGCTCGATTACCCCCCTGTGCGAACTCCCAGCCCCGTAGCTCAAACTTTGCAAAAAAATCGACAAAATCGATAAAAGTAATCGATAATCCTGAAAACCAATATTGTATTCGGAATCCCCATGCTCGATTACCCCCCTGTGCCAACTCCCAGCCCCGTAGCTCAAACTTTGCAAAAAAATCGATAAAATCGATAAAAGTAATCGATAATCCTGAAAACCAATATTGTATTCGGAATCCCCATGCTCGATTACCCCCCTGTGCCAACTCCCAGCCCCGTAGCTCAAACTTTGCAAAAAAATCGATAAAATCGATAAAAGTAATCGATAATCCTGAAAACCAATATTGTATTCGGAATCCCCATGCTCGATTACCCCCCTTTGCCAACTCCCAGCCCCGTAGATGAACTCAGCAAAAAAATCGATAAAAATCGATAAAATCGATATCGATCGATGACGAAAAGTAGCCTATGACACCCGCCGGGGCCCGAAATGTATGTGTGCCAAGTTTGGTCCGGATCGGTTCAGAAATAAAAATTTCTATTCGGAACATACGTACATACATACATACAGACAGACATACATACATACAAACAGACATTCAGCTTTATATATAAGATTTGGCATCTATGAAGCTAGAAAATTATCGCATTCTCTTGACTTACATTTGGCTAATCTGTCGGAAATTTGCTTTTTTGCGTCTGATTAGCAAATTGCTTTCTGTCCTTTTCTTCTACATAATTTTTCACAATGTTCCTCTCTTAGTCAGACATGAAGGCACATTATGTTAAGCACAAATTATGCACAATTTGCCTCAATTCCCAAGGCTCGAGTTCGTGAGTCAAGCGATTTACTTTCGATGCGAGACTTTGCCTCAAACTTTGTTCAGAAGAGTTTTTGCAAAAAAAAGCAATTTAATTCATAGCATTGTTGAGATAACCTCTCTTTTCTCATCCTTTTCTTTGCTCTTCAAAATGTTGTTATTTGTCAATATAAGAACAAAGCGAAGACAACAGCATACTATATGGAATTTTTCGTCCTGTTGTAAACTAAAAGTATGGAAAACAGCGCAGTAGCGATCATTCTGTAAATTGTTTGAAGACTCTTTGCTTCCAGTGTCTGGAACTTCCGCAGAACGCCTGAGGAAGTTAAGCCGGGACACCTGCGCAAGTTCCGTAAACGCGCAGCGGAAGTTCCGAAGAATTCGAATCACAATAGCAAATGAGGATACCTGTGCAAGAATCATAATCTCTGGCATTTTCCGGAAGTTCCGTGTAGCAAATGTTGCGTAAGTTCCCGTTCCCAAACACCACTCTGACGCGAAAATTCCGCGTCTTCACTTTTGTAATAGTGAGCAAAATTTTGCGGAACCGCTGCAAATTTGGCTTGTCTTGCGGAAGTTCCGGTGTATTGCCTGAGTTATTAGCAACTCAATGCTGGATTTTCGTACTCTGCTCTAGGTTCCGCTACTTTCGCAATTTGATGCTGTCCTTAATCTTTTTTCTCAGGAAACAGTGAAGTCTGAGATTAGTGAAAGACAAAAGTAAACCAATTTTCTCTCTTTTCCCCTCTCAATTATGCAAATCGCTCTCCCAATTGCTCAATTACTTCCAGAAAAAAGTTAGGAATTGAGGAAACGTAGATGTGAGTCAACAAATGGTGCAGCATAGTTCTAGAAAGTGGGCTCATCAAGTGATAAAACCGCGAGTATTAATAATAATATTATTATCATCTCACAATCATTTTCCAACTGGATTCCAAATTTGAGGCTTTAATTTTTACAATTCGCAACATTTTTTTGCATTCTATCAATCCTATATTGCTAAAAAAATCTGGCATTTCATCAAGCTATAACTAACTTTTTTTATGAGAATACTCCATTTGCTAAGCACTATGCTCATAATTCTGATAAAAATTTTAGAACGATATAAAATACGATGGCCTTTCTTTTTTCAAAGTGAAATTTTCCGCTCGAATTAGCGTCTTATGTGGAAGCAGGTCGATGACAACATACAAATTGGTTCATCCCAAAGGCACATGAATGGCAACGAGGAAATGCGATTAGAAAGAAAAATCCCCAATGATATCATTGAAAACATCTTTTGTTTCGTATAACGAGCGTTATGTCAGCATCCTAATGAGATGTTTCTTTTTCGCTGGAAAATTGTATCATTCACAACGATTGGCATACAGAATCTTATTAATCGAGCATGCATATGTATGGCTCAGCCGCATTAATATTATTAGCTTTGTGCAAATGTTCCAGATGCGAATAAAATGGCAAAAACGTCAGTAGAACGCTATATATTTCTTCCCTAAGCTTAATTCACATTCGCGAATACATCAAATGCGGATCTTAGCCAATTGACTTTTTCCAGAATATGATGAATCTTGACATTCGATTTATTTCACGTCAAGAGCAGCATTTATCTCTGCATTCAGAGTAAAATCAACGATTTGTGGGAAATTTCTTTCCTCAAATCAGATGTAGTTCAAAATTCATTCATTTACATTTCTTGGTTCTATTTTTGCTTCGTTAACTGTTACAGTAAACTCCCTCATTTTGAGCTGATGCTTTCATTTCTGACATTGCTTCTCCCATTCACTGTTCCTTTGATTTACCTAAATACTCATTCATTCTTTTTACCTTCTCTGCTCTTTCTTTCTTCGATTGATTCCTTTATTCATCGAATCACTTTCTCGCTCAGAGCTCCACTCAATTATCAATCTTCACATTCATTCTCCTTTTCATTTGAACACTAGCTGGCTTACCCGGCTTAGCCCGGCCCTGCCAAAACACTATGATAAAGCTCCCATCCCTACCCCTGTACAACCTTTCCCTGTGTCCATTTCTACATGCCACTTCCCTATTCCCCCTGTGTTAGTAATCAGCATGCTCACTAACCCTCCTGTGCCAAATCCCAGCCCCGTAGGTGAACTCTGCAAAAAATCGATAAAAATCGATAAAATCGATATCGATCTGACGAAAACTGGCCTACGACACCCGTCCCGCACCATAGTGTATGTGTGCCAAGTTTGGTCCGGATCGGTTCAGAAATGGAATTTTCTATTCGGAACATACGTACACACAGACAGACAGACATTCACCTTTATATATATAAGATTCATTCGTTCGTTGATTCAATTCTTTCAATCATTCGTAAAATTCATTATCAACGCTCATTCCCTCATTATATTAGACTGAACCGAAAGTTCTGTCGCACCATTTCCAAAAATTCATAACTTCTGATTTTTCCAACCGTTTTGGCTGCATTTATTTTTATGTGAAGGAGTAAGTCATGCTCTCTATAATGACATCCTAGATGCTTGCTAATGGTCAGTTGTTGCATAGATAGGAGTGGAAGAAGAAAATTAGCCAAATTTCGAATTTTCTGTGTAGGGTCATAAAAAATCGAAAACTTGCAAAAAAATCGGAGCAGTCGATATTGTAGGTTGTTTCACCAGCTCTTTCTAACTGTGCAAAGTTTGAACGATTGAGCGACTCTATAAAAAGTTACTATTTTCCTGAATAATGCCAAAATAAATCAAATTCGCCCTTTTGTATTGCTTGCTCGAAAGTCATAACTTTCCATAGAGACGCTCAATCAGCGCAAACTTTGCACATTTAGAAAGAACATGAAAGAACCTATAATACTGACTGCTCCGATTTTTGTTGCAAGTCTCCGATTGACTTTACACAGAAAATTCGAATTTTAACCAATTTTCTTCTATCGCTCCTATCTATGCAACATATGATTACTAGCAAGCAGCTAAGATGTCATTATAAAGAGCATGACTTACTCTTTCACGCAAATATAGATGCAGTCAAAACGGTTGGAAAAATCAGAAGTTATGAATTTTTGAAAATGGTGCGACAGAACTTTCGGTGCAACCTAATACTTATCCACTCATCCTTATATCCTTTGTTCATTCATTCATTCAGTCATTCATTCATTCTTTCATTCATCCGTCCTTTCTTTCTTTCTTCCATTAGTAATTGATTCATTCATTTTTTCATTCATTCATTCATTCGTTTTATTCATTCAGTCATTGCTCAGTCAACCTCTACAATTTCTTCTTTAATTGAAACGATAATTTGCATCTATTCTAATCTCGCAAAATCATCTATTGAAACTAACGCACACTCCAAATTACATTGATTTTTTTCTCTCTTTAGGGAAATAGTGGAAACATGACATCATTTCTTTACCATACAACAAAACAAATACGAAAAGTAATAAAATTGCAGTATGATAATGAAATCTTCTTGAATTTCTTTACTTGATCTTTGCAGATTAAGAAAGCAGCTCATTAAGTTGCTCATATATCTTCTGTAGAACATGCCTAAATTAACAGTACGCAACTTCCACTTAATTATTGATTTAATTATAAGAAAATGTTACAGCAGTATTATCCGCATATAATCATTATCTATACTACATGCTCATCACCCATGCGTGAATCAATCATTTGCAAGTGATTCTATTCCGAGAGTGCGACTTCTTACACCCTCGCAGATTGTACGATTTCTTACAGCAGTTGAATTATGTGCAAATGCTACATATAACAGAGCTAGAAATGTTTCGTGTATGTTATTTCTCGCTCCCTTTCCCCTCCTCCATCTCCCTCAACTCTTCCAATTCTAGAGATCTTTGCCTACTCATATCCATAATCGTTCCTCGTTTCTTGTCATTGTCGTTTCTTGTGTGTTGTTCTTGTCTTTCTGGAGAATGTTTTGTAAAATCTGATAATTTATACTATATACAGACCGTCAACTCTGTTTCAGACTTACCGAGATAGCATTGGCAACAAATAAGTTCACACCCATTACATGGACTTTGTTCTGTTCAAAACAGATCAATCGTTTGTGAATTTATTTGTTGGTGGAGAGGTAAGCATAGATCATTTTGATGAGAAATCTCATCATATTGTTTAGATATATCCAGTCCAGCTAAAGACGCTACTCAATCCCGAAACATGTGGGACCTTTTTTAAGGAAAGGGTGATACGCTCCATGGAGGGTATCAAGGTATGCTACACCAGTATATACATAAGAATCTGTGAAGACAACGTGTAGTCTAGCAGATTTGACCATTAAATACAGAGCACCATGATCACTGGGATGTAGCTCGCAGTGCCATACTTTTACAAAATGAGCTCACGAGAGTTGCAGAGCTTCTATTTTCATGATAAGTCACTATTGACAATTCACAATTTGATTTGAAAGCTCCAGCGTTGAGCTTCAGAAAAATTGCAAAACAATTTGAATTGTAGAATTGTGCGCAACACCCTATGGCTTATAAATCTACTGCGTCTTCAAAAGAAAATCCCCTGTACATCAGAAAGGTACAGCATGAGGGCAAGTTTATGGCTACAACATGCGTAAGAGGAAAATATTCTCTTTATGTTCAAAGAATATCATAATTTGATCAAGAACATGTGCATGCCGCATTACCGAAAACTACAATCAGAGGTACAACTCGCGAAAAAAACTGAATTTGATGATCAACTGAGTTTGAAAGTGCCATTAATCGAACAAATTTATAATATCTACAGAGTGCGGAAAAACTACTGCCTCCAAAATAAAAGGAAAAACTCGGCGTGATTCCCAGATTTTTCTGGTGTGACATGAATCCTAAGATGTGAATTGTTCTGACATTTTACAAAAAGTCTCTTCATCTGCAATCTCACCCGGCAGCGGATCCTTTTTGGCAGCGCAGCTCATATCAAGTCTTGCAACTCCTTTTACAAATGTGAAGGAGGTGTGAAGCTCTCTGGAAAAATCTTTCGCTTCCAACATGGACTTGAGAAATCTTCTACCTCAAACTCAATAATGAGGTCAAGTCAGAGAACTGGGTCACTAGTTAACTATAAAAGTAAGGCAGTACAGTTTTTTGACATAAGTGGTCTGCACCCACCAAATTATCGTCTGCTAGGATGAGCCCTAGCTTAATCTTGCTTTTGGTTGAGGCTACTGTTTTTCTTAGAGGGTTGGGCTCCTTTATGCTGTTGACGAGGTGTTTGATCGGATAATTTACTTATGTGTTTTCGACTTTTCAGGCCCTGAAGAAGGCGAGTTCGCCGAAACGTTAGTCTGTACTCTGTGCGATAAAGTTCCGTCCACTTGGACTACGCTCAAGCAACTAGCGAAAAGATTGCTTAAGAAGTGTTGTAGTGTTTTTGAAATATGCTGGAGTAGCCGGATCGGAGAAGAGATGGGAAATTTTTTTAACGAAATAGCGTCTGCGTTGCAACAGGATGCGATCAGAAGTGTGGCACAGAAAGTACAATTGTTTATTAAAATTATGACGTAGACAACGCCCCAGGTTCTTCTCATAATCCCTGTTAATTTTTGTTGGAATTTAGGACTTTGAATCGTAACTTGGATCCAAACATTAAACAAGAGCACATTCAATTAGCCTCTTTTCAAGAACGCATTCGTTTCGCTTGCTTTGCCAAAATTTCAAGTCGCTGATCCATGATAAGTACACAGTTTTGGAGAAAAGATTATGCTCTACATACTGGCTTAAATTGATCTCACTCTCTGTGTATAGTTGCTGCGGCTCATCGTCGATGATGCTGTTCATTGTTATCACCCGTTTGAATGGACAGAAGGTAACTTTTCAAAATCAAACATTGTAAGGGATATTAACATCTAAGCGAACGAAGAACAAGAACGACAGAGAACGTTTATTAGAAAACAAATACAAAACAAGACAGACGCCACTGTTCCGTGGCTCGGAACAACGAAACAATCAACAATGAATCGAGATCTGGCCTGCGGCCTCCCTGCCGTCCAAGAGCGCGCCTTTGATCGCCTTTTGATCTAAATTGGTCTTCTCTTCGGTGGCCATGGGCCTGACAACATAGCTTACAAGGGAAGGATACATGGTGACCGTGGCCGCTTAAGAGGAAACGTATACCATTATATGCGTCTTGAAGCGCTGTTTCCAAATCTGCTTACGGTATCTGCTGTGCGCTCTTTCGAAGGAAGTTACGGACCTTTCTCGCCACCAAAATTTGCGCTGTTTAGGTGGCAGAATTCATCAATATTGTTAAAATGTCCACATACGCACTACAAGAAAGCGTTCAAATAAAATAAGCATTTACTCCAAGCTCAGGAAAACTGTCTCCGATATGTCAGAGTCTGAAAAGCTTGCACAGTGACGATTTTGACCGCCTTAATCTTGTCAAATTAATTTGGAAAAAAGTCCGTAACTTCGTTCAGAGAGTCGCACAGCAAATAATGAACATAGATGTGGAATCAGTGTTTTAAGACGCATTTACTGGTTTACATTTCACTGCAAAAGGCCACGGTCACCAGGTATCCTTTCCTTGTTAGTCTAATCTGCTGGTCTCGCCTACATGCAGGAGTCAAAAAACCAAAGTTTTTCAGATTCTGTGAGATTTTTAGGAGGCAAATTGAGAGACAGTACTTTTCTGCACCCTACACTTGGAACCGTGATTTGACGGATATTTTTAGCCAGCAAATGACTCGTAGGGTTACTAAGGTCACACCTAATCGCCGAATTTGCTAAACTCTGCGAGTTGATATTCTCTAAGTATAATTCTCAGCTTTGAACACCATCAGTGTAAGGTATCTCCAGGTACACTGCGTTCAGTGGGACTCTTCCCCAAACCACATCAAACACAGAATGGACATTGATAGAGATGGACTATTGTTTAGGGAGGTACGTATTCACAAAAAACTTATGCATTATTGTTCTATTTGTAATGAGTAAAATCGAAGCAACATTCGTGCACTTACCCCAATTGCTGCGGATTCATGATTGACGTCTTTCATTGAACTTGCTGAGAATGAGAAGAGCAAAAAGTTAAGCAAAAGTTTCGACAGGAGAGATGGATGACACAGAATTGATCAATATTTTATGTAGGAAAAACCTACGCTCATAATGCAATGCGTTAATTTTTAGGCCTCAGACAGAGTTCACTCGATTTGATCATCGCGATTTAATCGCCGCGATTGTCATTCATTTTCATTTTGCATTCAAAAATCTCGAGCTGGAAAAGTATCACAACCGAAATGCAAGCTGATCGGCATGCAATACTCGTGGCAGTTGTCTTGTATCGATTGAATCGCGACGATCAAATCGCGTGAACTCTGTTCGATGCCTTAGGTGAATATTTTGAATGTTATATTTCATGAACCCAGCTTGGTCTCAAGAGTTAAGATTGTTTAAATTCTCATTTTTTCAAAAGTCACATTGAAAAAGAGTTGTACCAGAGATAACGGAAGAGAAGGATGCAGAACTGTCTTAGCGAGGGCTGCACTTCTGATCACAATTAAAACTTTTAAATATCAATGAGTTCTAAGCGACAATGAAAGTCAAAAATCAACAATCAAACTGGGTTCCTGAACTCACTCATACTGTCAATAAGAGATTCTCTGGTTTTCTTGAGACACGATAAGATTTTTTTGCATCATAAAGTTGGTGTTTTGGCTGAATGCATTATGAAAGTACGTGAGATTTTATTTACACATTTCAATATTTTGTTTTCTTTTAGGTTTTGCAATTTATTCGCAATGGAAAACGCACAAGTATTCCAGAAAGTAAATATCAATTACAACAGTTGGTGGTAGGTTATCTATGCATAGCAACGGGATTCTTGTTTCAAAACGCCTATCATTTTTAGTGCGAAGCTGAATTCTTTGGCCTCGAAGTTTATCGAAAGATGCTGCGACGACGACTGTGGAAATTAACCGGGAAAGCAGCTTATTACGCATGCTACTCAGATTCCGATTAAGATCTCAAAACAATAAATCTTTCAACTCAATAGGCTATTCAGAATATGTGGTTAGAAGAAGTGCATGATGAAACATACAAACACTTAACCCTTCAACATTCAACACTCAACCCTTAAATGAAGACAAACTCGTGGACTGACTGAACTGAATCAAGATTGTGTAAAAACTTTATTCTTTTCTAGAAGTCTTGTGTTTTGGAAAAATCGCGTGACCTGTTATTCCACCAAACACTGCAAAACCTACCTAAATAATACTGAGGTTTCAACACTCGATTATTATTAGGTTGTTGCATAAGTTCTGTCCGATTTGGATTTTTGAGTTCAAAATGTCATAACTTCTTTCAGAGTCAACTTTTTTCCAAGATCTTAGATTTTCTTGTGTTGAGTAATTAGTTGGCTATCAGACACATATTGAAACCTGTGGAAATCCGTGTTAAAGAAGAAGAACTCAAAAACTTCACAGCGTTTTTCTTCAAACCTGTCTTTTTTGATATGGCAATGCTCCCTTGTGAGAATCGATAGACATCTTTTCTAACAATGGGTAGATAGAGAATCTTTCGTAGATTATTCTTCAGTATAAAAGAGCCCATAGGGTTTGCGCTGCCGAGAGATTTTTTTGACTGCACAAAAAAAGAAGCCACTTTTTGACCTCGCTTCAGCGCATGTTTAATGCGCTGAAGCGAGGTCAAAAATTACCTAATTACGAATTATGAAAATTTTACAATTAACGTGAGCGCCGACAAGAAATTGGTGGATGGTCTCTGCTAGCCCTTGCTTTACTTTAGCACCTCCAACTTCGAAGTCGTCGATTACTTCTATTCGCAGAAAGTTATTGCTTGTAAAACATCTATACAGAAAACTGATGTTTGACAATAAATTTAACTAGCAAGACGTTTTCTTTATGAGACTAAACTTATGCGTATGCTAGCCTATTACCAGGGCCCGGCGAAGGTGGCGCTTTCACAAGCTGGATATCGTTTTTGCCCCGAAAAAGCAAAGGGGAAGGCGAAGCCCCGGACCCCAAAATACGACTTCCCCTTTGTTTACCGATAAACAATGCACATACCATTCTTTATTCATCATTCCTTGTTGATGCTAATGTCCTATGAACTTAGATTCCAGCAATGTGAAGATTCTGTGCTCCGATCGCTAGCCTGCCCGCAGGCGGGAATGCAAATCGCAATTCTTGTAAGAGGAAAATAACAAAATAGGCTCGTTTTCAATGCACAAGTAACGATATGGCACCAAATTTGCTGTGTAGTTGGAGGACCATGAGCACAAAAAAAGTATGAAGAATTCTGAGAAATGTGAATTTAAAAAATGGTAAGTGTTTTTCGAAATTAGGTGGCTCTCGCGCCACCTGGGAGCCACCTGGGGTGGCTCCCTGCTTCCCTCATAATTTCCCGTATTTCTTTACATAAATGTGGACTAGGTCGAGAGTATTACTATATGTTCAAATCCGCTTCCAAAACCACCAAGGCACCGCTTCGATACAGCCCCAAATAGGGTTCACAGCGTTATGATCGGCCTCGGAAAGCGCGCTCCAATCGCAATCGGTTATTGTAAATTGTAAAGTTTCGCAGCTGACTAATAAATGAGTAGTATCTTAGATATATAAACGTCAAAGTCGTTGCAAATCTTGACCCTATGTTTTTTTATATGTAGATTCCTTTGCGGATGAACCCATTGAGCTGAAACCTTGATTACCCGGGGTGGACCAGGAAAGCCAGGTAGTACTACTATAATAAGCGCTAAGGCCGCCCATCTTATTATTTGTGTATATCTGTTTGTCAGGGACTTGCGGGGGTCAAAAATAGGGTCAAAGGGGAAGTCGTAAGAAATTTTGGCTTTAAAGGGGATATCGTTTTCAAAATTCTGAAATGCCACCTCCTGTCGGGCCCTGCCTATTACACCCTTATTCCGCAACCAATTGAAAAACTTGACCTAAAGGGCGCATTGTGGAGATTTCCTCGCAAGAACATATTTTTAGGGTGAGAACGTACCTCGGCCACTTGGAGATTTTAGGCCTGAAATCTCCTTACATTGAGAAATTTGTTGAAATTTGATAAGCTTCAGAAAGCGCAAGAAAAGCACTTTTTAATGATACCAACAATATTGCATTAAAGATGAAATTCTCTTCTTAGAACAGCTGCTTCAAACACGAGGTAAAAAGAATCGGACATAACTTATGCAACAACCTAATACTACTACTACCATTACAAAGTAGATGAGCGGTTTTCGCTTCAAATCATGAAGATTTTGAGACATAAGTTACGTCAGTGGGCACTCTAAATTTGAGAAATACTGCGGTTTTCCCCCACAAATATCGCTTGTCTCGGCAAAAAAGGCTATGTTAGAAGGAGGATAAAAAGTTGCATCGAATGGTGACTGAAGTGTTTAACATTCTATGTTCTACGAAGTTAAAATAGGCTGAATTGAAGTTTGGTCACTTTAAAAAATAAATCGTAGAAACTCTGAAAGACAAGCCATAGGGCTACAAAAAATTGCTTCTGTTGACAAAAGGCTTGCCCTATCTGCTGGTTATTAGGGCTCCTCCGAAGGTCTCGTACAAAAATTTTGGAAATTAGCGAAAATTGGACATGATAAAAAACGAGTGGTTGTATCCAGCAAATATCTCGTCATTCTCGCAACGAAACACAGTGTGGGTTTGGCAGCTGGAAAGAGGAAGAAATTCTGCATCGGACACATTTTGAAATTTTAGCTTATCTTTATTCTAACGTGTTTGCCGATGGATTAAAGAAAATGACAAAACTTTGCACCGACCTAGTGTAGTAAATTATATTAGGTCGTTCCGAAAGTTCTTTCCGTTTTTTCAACCTATCATAAAAACACATGGAATGAAGGTAGAGAAACGCCTCAAGCGCTATCCGACGCAGCTTTTCTTCCTCTTTTCAACTGTCATACTACTATGCGGCTTGCTCTTATGATCAGTGAGATAATGGCCGAAATTTCGAACCCATGGTTTTTACCATGTCCAACTTTGGCAATTTTTCACTATTTTCTTTTTTGACTTTTGGAGAAGCTTCAATAGCAATCGGATAGAGTAAACAAAGTGCAATCAATGGAATTTTTTGGCAATTTCAACTGGATTCTCAGTATTTTTTGAGATAATTTTTTCAGAAGCCTTCATTTTTTCAAAGTTACAAAACACACAACTCCGAACATTAACAAATCTTCGGATTTCGACACTTTCAAAAGTCCACTATTTTTACAAAGTAACTGAGTGTTTACCACTTCGAAATATGGATTTAGCATTCCACGGGTACATCATGAGGCGGGTTCAAAATCAAGATTTATGGAAATTTTATCGCCAAAGATACCACAAACTATGAAGAAAAAGCACTCATCAGAAAGAGGAGAAAAAGCTGCATCGAATGACACTTTAATGCGCCGTTTTATGTTCTATGGTTTTTGGCATCCCCAAAAGTGGAATTTGATAGCATCAGAAAAATAATTCTAAAAAAATCTTGAGGCTAGCTATGGACGCAGAAAAATTGCGTTTAATTGCACTTTGTTTACTCTATTTGACTGTTATCAAAGCTTTTCCAAAAGTCAAAAAAGAAGATTGTGAAAAATTGCCAAAGTTGGACATGGTAAAAACCATGGGTTCGAAATTTCGGCCATTATCTCACTGACCACAAGAGCAAGCGGCATAGGAATATAAGTGTTGAAAAGAGGAAAAAAAGCAGCGTCGGATTGTCTTTGGAGCTTTTCTCTACCTTCATTCCACGTGTTTTTATGATATGTTAAAAAAACGGAAAGAACTTTCGGAACGACCTAATATCAATTTCACATTAATAGGAATTTAGAGAAACTTTGAAATATTAGGTCGTTCCAAAAGTAATGTCGCTTTTTTCAAACGTATGCCACATTTCGTGGAAGCAAGATTTTCAAGAGCTTTTGGAAGCTTCGATGCAGCATTTCATCCTCTTTCTAATGGTTGTGATTTCATTGCGTGATATTCAATGAACTCGCGAAAAATTACCAAAATCTACGACTTATGCTTTTTGATATGGCCAAGTTTCACAAATTTTCTAAAATTTTATAACAAACCTCAGGAGGAGTCCAAGTAATAAATGGATGGAGCAAACACTACAGGAAACAGCACAACTTTTTTCTACTTTTAATTGTTGTACAGATTTTTTGATGGAACCACTGAATTTTAGCAGGCTCGTCTCAGACGCAAGTGCATCAAACGCCAACAAGTCTCCGGATTTTGAAACTTACAAAGATGGATTATGGTTGGCAACAATTTCACAAACCAAACGAGCATTCACCGCTTCGGTTTAGCCACTTTCGAAAATTTCGTGTACACCTTGGGGTGCCTTGAAAAAGTTGAATTACGATGATTTAATCCCGGAAAACTTGATGAATCGGAAACAAAAAACGACCGCTAGGAAGAGGAGCTGCATCGAACATCACCCGAGTCGTTTGCCGGTTGTTCTGTGAGACGGCGGAGCCGGGTAAGCCAGCTAGTAGTCAATAATGCTATAATCTCGATATCATTCTCTGTTGGGTAGTATTATTCCGGCTCTGATAATTTGCTGGCCTTCGCTGTAAGCCAATGTAAACCCATTAGCCTCCTCGACTATGAAGCAGAGAGTTTTCGGCGCATACCCGCAGGAAATCATGAAGACGCCGAATCCTTCATCCTTTTTGTCCTTCATATTAGGGTGATCCGAAAGTAGTGGGACATTTGATTATTTGGCCATTTTCTAAGGTCTCTTTTTGAGTAACTGGACAACCATCAGTTTGAACGCTTTCGTATAAAGTGACTTTCTCAGGTTATCCTGACAATACTTTGCAGCACCTCACCCATATCCCTTCGAGCTGAGCTTCGAAGAAATCAAGCCCTTTCTTTGAACGCCCGCATTTGCGTTGTTGTACCCAAAGTTCCTAGACATTTGACATATCAATCGAAAGAGCATTCCAAACGCTTTCTAATGATTTCTTAGATGTAAGAAAACTCTCCAATCTTTCTCAAAAAAGAGGCACTTTATTCGAAAAAGTGCGATATTTGGCGCAACTTTTCAGGCTAAAAACCATCTTTTAGTCTTTTTGAAAACGAGAAAAGTCGAGGTAAATTACATTGTATGGATAGAGCGTAAAAAACTTTATCAAAGCAACAGTTAAGGGTGAGATCATTTGATTCCTTGATGAAAGAATAAATAATATGCTAATATCCAATTTTAAACCTTCCTTTCTGCAGCGGACCTCCAGATTATCGTGGATTTGATCACAGTTCCCTCACTCATTACCGCGCAGACATCTTTAGTGGGTTCACTTGTTTTACCGCGGCGTTACTGCTTCAAGTTCAAAATCACTTGAAATGACGAGCTTTGGTTTTGAGTGCTTATAAAAATAACGCCATATGACAATGCCCATTTATAGACCTCGATTAGAAGGGTTTTGCTATGTGCATATGCATTATGTGCATTTTTATTTATTTGTTTATTTGAATACGCCATAGGCGCGCCATAGTGTCGGGTTAGTAATTAATAGATTCTTGAAAAAAATCAGTGTTAGAAATACACAAACACAGAGACAAGAAAACCTTAACTCAGAAAAATAATATAGCTTTTTTTGAGACCATTCGCCAGTCTAGGTCCACACTAATGAATGATAGAACAGAAGGACTAACTACTAGAAGCGCTGTCATAAAGGATTTTAAAATGCATATGTGTATATGCATTCTAAAATCTGCCAAAACCTGGACTTCCAATTAGATGTACTGTTTGAGAAAAGTTTATTTTCTAGGTGTCCCATTACTGTCGAATCACTCTAAAACTTTATTGATTTGCTAAAAATTTCTTACAAGGCGTGACTGCTGTCGAAGAATAGTTTTCTTTACACTTGCAAGCGCTTCCAACAAAGCTCACAGCTTCAGGTTTTTCCAAACAAAGACTATAGAAAAGGCTTTCCTAGTAATCTGTAATAACCGAAATTTCTTCTGATGCGGAAACTGAAAGCTGCAGATGTGCGCACAGAAAATCAAGTCTGATCTAGTTTCGGTTATCACTTTCTATCTATCTGTTAGACTTCTGCTTTGTAACATTGATTGTTCTTTGATTGAGTTACTTTAGTTCAACCTTATAAGCTGGGTCTAGAGCTTCGTGTTTTATTTTTCCACTCGCATATTCTTTTATCTTCTCTTGAGGCTGAGGACTGGCTGGCCTCATTTGTTGGAACCTTCTTTTTTATTTCTTTTACATCCTGGTGCACCCCGAGTGTATTTATGAAATAAAATAAAATAAAATAAATCAAAGCAGTTGTGACCAAGGCTTGTCGCAGGTGGCTTGCAAGAAAGCTGGATATCGTTTTTGGGACAAAACGCAAAGGGGGTATCGTTTTTGAGGCCGAAAAGACACAAAAATTGCGAAGTTTTTTCTAATCGAGGTTTCGTTTTTTTGATGTTTTTTTTGCGCTTAAGATTTAGGATCAAGGGGACTTCGTGAAAATTCGCGGAAGTCAAGGGGGACATCGTTTTCCGGACTTTCCAAGAACCAAATCGTGCCGAGCCCAGGTTGTAACATCCAAAACAAGGATCCGCTTTAGAATAAGAACACATGTGATATTTGAACAAAAAAATCAGCTTGTCTGTTGCAAACGTCCTTTTAATGACCACCTTGTCTTACAGTTAAGAACTATCAATCATCGGCATCTGTGGAAAACCAGTTCAAAGCACTTTCAGCGTAGAATCGCTCGATGTTCTCTCCCGATCTGACAAAAGTGTCATTAAAATATGGGCGGGGCCCCGTGTTGCTTGTAACGGCGCCATCGCTATCTCGCATGTGTTTGCCGTCGAAGGTCTTTGCGCTGCCAACAGGCCACCGTTTCGTTCTTTACTGAGATACCGTGCTGCTGATTATTTACGTCATTATGTACAAGGAAGAAACAATTTATATTTTACTTGTGACAGTTGCCATCACGGATTCGCTAAAATGCTACGTTGGTGAGTTTTTTCTCGCTTAGTTTTCGCCTGAAAATATGGGCTTATGTTCTGTTTGTATCAGATTGTTTGAAATTAAGGTCAATTTTGACAGTTTAAAACAAATGCAAATCAGTTTCTACTTCTCCACTACTTACTCAAAAACAGTGAGTGAATTAACCTCCAAGTTCAACCTTTTATGAATCTTGGCATAATTTAAATATCTTTTGATTTGTTGTTGAACGGTGGCCAAGATTGGTATGATAACAATTTATTACTTGGAAAAGTAAGTGAGTGAGTGAATTGTTTTGAAATCTGTGGTCCGAAACAATCAATGCATAATTAATGCGCGTTTTTCCAAGACCTTTTTCCAGATTCATACCATCGACTTTCTCTTTCATACATATTCTTCTTACCAGGAGAAGACCACTTACCGTTTATAGAAACTACTAAAACAAGCTTCTAACCTCATCGGTTGCGCATTTACAAAATTTCCAATATCTGCACGGAAAATTGCAACAGATAATTTGAGACTTTCAGAGCCACCACAAATGGCCCGAAAAATGAATAATTTTAATTTTTGTATCTTTTCGGAGAACTTCCTCATTGAAAATCTTCTTACTCGCACTTATACTTTTGGCTTGTGACTACAAAATAAGCTGATTCTTAGTCATGACAACAATACTTGAAGGAAGTTGTGATTTGTCAAAAGCGAGTCAAGAAAAAGTTATTTTCTCAAATCCTGGTTTTCTTCCCGTTCATGAAATCAGCAACTGATTACTAAGCTTTGTATTTCTGCAGAAAACGCACCATATTTTTGCACACTTTTCCCAACTATAGAACTAAATAAACGAAAAAATATGCACATAAATCGTGGAATGCCATGCTACGCATACAATAGGCTTGAACCGAAAAAATGCTTGTAGTGTAAAACATTTCGAATAGAGATATTTTTGTTCGAATTTTCAAAATGGTATGCATATCAGAATTTTACAATTTGAAGTAATTTAAAGTCCATAGATAACCTCATCCTGGATTTCACCGTCGCAGTATAATATGAGTTATCAACCGTTCTTTATTGATTTAGAATTAGTATGAATCTTTCAGCGTTTTATCTTCACAATCATTTAGCTTTTATGAGGTTTACAGAAAGTTACAATTCCTTTACAGACTCGGGTGTCCTTTTGAATTCGATGACGGGGTTTTTCGGAAGCTTTTCTGAGATAGATTATAGCTTTACCGGCTAAAGTTCCCTTGACCGTAGTCTTACAGTAGCGAGGAGGATCGATGACTCGATAATATATATCTTCCATTTTGAAATTGGACAAAGTGCAGACAACAGTAATGCACTGTTAACATGGCATATTCCATCTGCGTTTTGAATACATTTTCTGCCTAAATATTATTCTACGAATCTTGCTATTCAAGCATAAATTTGCTGCATAATGATTCATGAATCTCACAATTGCGCCAGCAACCCGATGCGTGACTTCTTATGATTATTTGGTGACGTGGTTTCCTTTTGTCCGTGAATGTAGATTCATGCGTTGGGAGAAGCTAAGATGTTGAAAGAAGGGTTACAGCACCCAAATATGACAATTTACAGAATAATCAATTACTCACAAGAAAAAATGTGAACAACATTTGCAACCGAGCCCTAGCAGAGAGTTCCAAGTTGTGGATTTGGCAGTTTAGTGTCCCTACGGTGCCGACAGCATATGCGCGTAAAATGAAGGATTTAACCCGCAACATTCAGAAATGAGCTCTCTGTGGTCACTTTGTACAAGCACAAGCATGGCAACTGGTCACATGCAAGTACTGTCTGTACCACAGGGTACTACAGAACTACAACTTTACTAGATATCGGGTCCGAAAGCGTTTTGGAAAAAAATTTATTTCAGGAGAGGTAGCAATAGGAGATTGCGTTTCGTTATCCTTACAAAAATAAATTTTGGATCCATTCCAAATTATCAAAAAAGTCTGTAGCCTAAATGGCAAAAGTTCAGAATCTACTTACCGTAATATTTTCACATAGATAACGTAGTGCACGTGCTAACTTCTAGAGAATAAGTTCCCTTTCCTCCAGGTTTCGTTTCCCTTACTATCCATACTTATTTGCCATTATTTCCAGACAAATTGCTCTCGAAATTTTCCAGACCTTTCTCTGTTTTTTGTTAACATGCCCGGATTTTGCTCACAGCAATTCTATACACCCTGGTATCGGAATCGGGGGGGGGGGGGTGGGACTGTTGTCTATGCTATGAGGTTCAAAACAGATAGGGGTCGGGTCAATTTGTTTACGCTCAGCGACTTTTTGGCGAGTCAACGATCGCGCACGGTAATTCCATCCGACAACATCAATGTTCTTTGATAGTGGCAGCGATATTGTTCTAAATATTTATGCGATGACGGAAAATGTCACCTGTAATCATTACCAAATTTGTAACGATCAATGAACAAGTCTTTGAAAACATTCTTTATCTGGAGAGATTTTGCTGAGTAAAATGTTTTTGAAAGAGCATCAAATGTGTGTGACATGCGGCTACCAATAGCTTATAGAAATTTCATTCTGGACAGACTTTCTTAGTATTTTCGTGTTTATTTCCTAAGTGCTCCTGTCTTTACGCTGGGATGAAATACTAAAAATTGAACAAATTTCTAATTTCCGTTTCTTTCCTGCCAAGACGGAAATTAGACAGAGAATACGACCTTCCCCTGAGGCCAGTAATGAGGGAAGACCGTTAATAATAATCGAAAAACAAATAAAAATCAAACTAACTCCAACAAATTTTTTCTTCATGGAAAATAAACTTGGGGAATTAAACCGAAACTCGATGTTCTAGAAAGTTGTGAACAGCAAAAGACGGTTAAAGCATAAAATTGATTAATGTTTGTTGACGTTTTTCTTGAAGGCAGCGTCCAGGCAAATCTGGACTATGGGACTCTCACGTGGATAGTAATTATTTTGGGGCCCTAGCTAAGCCCCTGCCCAACCGGCAGCTCAGGTATTGCACTAACGGCTGAGATATTCGCCTCGAAACGGAACCTTGGGATCGTATTTCGCATGAATTCATGGCGCAACCCATCTTTCGCGCAAGGACCCATGGGTTGCGCCATGAATCCCTGCGAAATACGATCTCGGGGTCCAGTTTCGAAGCGAAAATCTCAGCCGTTAGAGCATTACCTGAGCTACCGCTTGGGCAGCGGCTTAGTTAGAGCCCCAAAATTACGATCCACGTAAGAGCCCCATATGTTCAGATTTGCCTGGACGCTGCCTTTGAGCGTACGCCCTTCTATGAAAATATTTATAATTGCGGAGTCGATTCGCCCTAGACATGGTCCATACCTCGCACGATTTCAGTCGCCGCGTGATTACGGATTGCAACGATTGTTAATGCTTTTCCGCAAGGTTATTTTATGTAAGAAGGATTTCTTGAGTATGCATAAGCTTACGAAAGCTGTTCGCCTATGCACCTCAATCACATTCCAAATTTTTGGAAACTATCCATTCAGCAAGCGAACAGAACTTCTATGAGTAAAAAAAAATTTTCTCTTCAAAAGAGCTGTGACTATAGCAGAGCCTTCTTGCTATATTTGTAGAAATAACATGGTTTTTGACCCATCCTATCATTCATTTCGCTATATTCGAGTCACCGTTTCTGTTGTTTACGTAAAGCATCATCCACTATCAGTTTTGTTCCAAAATAGCTTCCCAGTGGAAAAAAAGAATAACGCTGAACCCTCCGCAAACAAACACTTATTGAAAGCTTACAATAACCCCTTTTAGGCTCTAAAGGTGTTGTCAACAATGTGCCGAGTTCGAATTTTGTCGCAAATAATTGTGAAGATGGAATGAAACATTGCTTCGAATCATTTACCGATGATATGACGGAGATCACCGCTTCCTGTCAAACACCAAACACCGAACACAAGCTTCTTGATGTTTGCCAGGTAAGGCCTTTGCTTTTGACAGTTTCTTATGTCCGACAGGGAGATACGGTTTGCATAACCTTTGCTTTTCGTTGCTGAAAACAATTCAACAAACGCTTTTACGACCTGGTGAAGACGTAAGCGAACGCTGCAGATGGCTTGCGATAACGTTGGACGAGACTAATAATCTAGTCGTACTATTTTTGGGCTGCATGTGACGACCATAGATTTTTTTTTGGAGATGGGGTATAGAAAAAAGCAAGAAGTCGAATTATCACGTAGAAACAAAATTTTTATCTATCTCAAAAAAGCAAATTTTGCGCAAAAAGCTAAGGAATTTTTCCATCACTGTTCATTCAGCACATTCAAATTAGTTCTCACCAGTGAACGTCACGTGCACATGCACAACAGCTGTGAAAAACTTAAGTGTTGACAGCGATTAAACAAATACCTTTTTCTTCAAAATTCCACTTCTTTCACCACTTTTTCACGTCTGCTAAAAGAAAAAAAAAGGAGCAACAAAAAGATGGCAATAATGTGACTCGCGTTAATTGCTTTTTAGTGTAAAAATATCAAGGATTACTCTGTGTAAAAAAAGTTGTGCTGTTACCTTAGAAATAAAACAAAGGCACATTCCGCCGAGTTGATTTTCTAGTATTCAGAGCAGGACCCGCAACTGGACCTGATCAAGCTTGATATTGTTTTTGTAGGAAGCGAAGGGAATACCTTCTTTTCGGGTCCGGTGACCCTAAATTGCGGAAAAATACATGATCAAACCCTAAGTTAATAACTGTTCATCGAGTCATAATCAGTTTGAGCAAGTCTAAGGCAGGGTCATTATATATGTTTATTTATCATATTTATATTTGCTCTAACGCGATCTCGTTAGAGGGGAAATTTTCAAATTTCCCCCAAATAAACGAATGCCTTGCACCCAAGAAGCACGCAATGATTTGCCGATTTCGGTCTGCACATGCGCAGAGGGGTCTTGAACTATAGCCGAGAAATTTATGAGAACAATGATTGATGATGGATTGAAAAAAATGGTAAACTTTTCTCAAGCCAGCTGGAGCCGCTCAGTCATTTGCCAGCTGGACTGGTCTCGATTTCTTTTAAAACTTTATCTATATTCAACTTGTGCCAAAACGAGTGTGAATAAACAAACATTGCTAAAGTGTGGATAGATTAGCCTGCCACTTTTAGCCAAAAGATAGCGATAGTGATACGGAACTACTTGGTGGTAAATTGTTAGAAAAATATTTAGCTTAGAGAGGAGAGGCGGTATTTAATCAGACTCATACCTATCCGGGGACTGCTGGGAAGACAGCACGCCAGCAGCTCGAGCTAGCGCATATTAGGAACGTCCTACGCGAACTTTGCATATCGCAAAGACAAGGGAATCCATTGTTTCTTGTGTGTTCTCCTTTTTGTGCGGTCCTCAAGCATAACTTTTTATATGCAAAATGATCAAGTTATTGATGAAATTAGATCGAGGAGTTGGGGTTTTTCTTAGGGAGTTATTCGAGTCCCAATGAATGAAATTGTCAAAAAGCAGGTTGAGGGTGCGAAGCGCTGCTTAGTATACTAATTAGAAATAAACGCACTTATAAAGTCCCAGGTAAATGTTGTTGGAACATTCTTGATAGAATATGCGCTACAGAACGCTTGACAAATCCGCACTTCTAGCGTTGATAACTCCTCCTAGGGGGTAGAGGACTATATGTCGCCGAAAAAGGGCGGTCCCCGCGGTGATTTGCGACAAATACGCACCCTTGTACTCAGATACTTTTTCCGGCTGGTGACCGGGCGATGACCGGCTGAGGCAACACCTCAATTCCGGGCGAGCCGGCCGCCGGCCGCCCGCCAGCCGGTGTTGGCACGCAAACGGCGCGGACGCCAGCCGGCTTCCCAGCGCAGCGGATTATTGGGGCACGACTCGCTAGGTTTAGCTTCGTTGACAATATTATTATTCTAATCATATAGCGTTATACAAAAATCTCTTATAATATTTTATTCGATATTTACAAGAGGGACAACAGAGAAGACACGAATTATGTTCAACATATGTACAACATACAACATGTGCAAAACACAATATAAAGAACATATTGCATTACATATGGTGCATTCTCCAAAATAGTTCACATAGGAACTTCAACGTGGCTGTCTTTCAATCATTTCAACAGTGCTTCGGATAAGCGCCTTATTTGCTGGAGTCAAAGCGTTGAAACGATCGAAAGACAGGCACGTTGATGGCATATATGGGAACAATTCTGGGATGCACGACACAAACAGTGAGCAAATCCGCATGTAGACTTGAGCTTAGAAACTGAAGCTAGAAGAAACGACTCCGCTTCTAACAAGGGAAGTTCGCCGAATCGAAATGGCCGATTGATATGTGGTATATACCCGGACGCGGGGCTCGGGAGGTTAGCATCAAATGTGCGCCCATTGGTTGCGACGCGTTATTGTGAAGCAAGTTATGGCCCTTTGAAGTTTTTGGCGTGTGCATGTCTAGAGAACGCACATGCACAGATTGTGGTCGTGTGGTGTAGTGGTTAGCGTCTCGGACTCACAGGTGACCGGTGTTCGAATCCTGTTGCTGTCCACATGTTTTGCGTTCTTCTCAAAATTCATTTTTTACCTGTTTTATGCAATACTGAGGTAAAAAATGAACATACGGGCGTTCAAACACTACTAATTATACATCCTGCCGTGTCATTCTCACAAGGTAGCTCAGCAAGAATCAATAGTACGACGTGATACAACTTGGAGATTGTCACTTAAATACTATGTGCAATCGAAGATAGTATGTGGGAGTGAGGATTTGGCAAATCTTCAAAGTCAACTGAAAAGCCGTCGCTAAAAAGTCGTTGCTATGTTCTACGAAAATTTTACATATGAAGCATTGATCGAATTTTCGTGAGAAAAATCATCCCGTAACCCGTGTGTGTCATTTTTACCTCATCTTATATATAAAGCTGAATGTCTGTTTGTCTGTATGTCTGTCTGTCTGTCTGTCTGTCTGTCTGTGTGTACGTATGTTCCGAATAGAAAATTCCATTTCTGAACCGATCCGGACCAAACTTGGCACACATACACTACGGGCCCCGGCGGGTGTCATAGGCTACTTTTCGTCATCGATCGATATCGATTTTATCGATTTTTATCGATTTTTTTGCTGAGTTCACCTACGGGGCTGGGAGTTGGCACAGGGGGGTAATCGAGCATGGGGATTCCGAATACAATATTGGTTTTCAGGATTATCGATTACTTTTATCGATTTTATCGATTTTTTTGCAAAGTTTGAGCTACGGGGCTGGGAGTTGGCACAGGGGGGTAATCGGGCATGGGGATTCCGAATACAATATTGGTTTTCAGGATTATCGATTACTTTTATCGATTTTATCGATTTTTTTGCAAAGTTTGAGCTACGGGGCTGGGAGTTCGCACAGGGGGGTAATCGAGCATGGGGATTCCGAATACAATATTGGTTTTCGGGATTATCGATTACTTTTATCGATTTTATCGATTTTTTTGCAAAGTTTGAGCTAGGGGGCTGGGAGTTGGCACAGGGGGGTAATCGAGCATGCTGATCATCCCCAAGGGGGGTGATCAGCATGCTCGATTACACCCCTGTGCCAAATTCCAGCCCCCTAGCTCAAATTTTCAAAAAATCGATAAAATCGATAAAAGTAATGGACGATCTTGAAAACTAATATTGTATTCGTAATCTGCATGCTCGATTACCCCCTGTGCAAACTCCCAGCCCCGCAGGTCAAACTTTACAAAAAAATCGATAAAATCGATAAAAGTAATGGACGATCCTGAAAACTAATATTGTGTTCGTAATCAGCATGCTCGATTACCCCCCTGTGCAAAATCCCAGCCTCGCATGTCAAAATTTACAAAAAATCGATAAAATCAATAAAAGTAATCGATAATTCTGAAAACTAATATTGTATTCGGAATCCCCATGCTCACTTCCCCCCCTGTGCCAACTCCTAGCCCTGTAGGTGAACTCTGCAAAAAATCGATAAAAATCGGTAAAACCGACATCGATCGATAACGAAAAGTGGACTGTGACACCCGCCGGGGCCCGAAGTGTATGTGTGCCAAGTTTGGTCCGGATACGGCGGAGCCGGGTAAGCCAGCTAGTTAATACATAAAACAGGTAAAAAATGAATTTTGAGAAGAACGCAAAACATGTGGACAGCAACAGGACTCGAACCCTTACCGGTCACCAGTGAGTCCGAGACGCTATCCACTACACCAGAAGACCACAATCTGAGCATTTGTGCGTTCTCTAGACATGCACACGCCAAAAACTTCAGAGGGCCATAACTTGCTTCACAATAAGGCGTCGCAGCTAATGGGCGCACATTTGATACTAACCTTCCGATCCCCGCGTCCGGGATATACCACATATCAATCGGCCATTTCGATTCGGCGAACTTCCCTTGTAAGATTCGTGACACGTATCTCACAAAAAAGTAAGAAGTCAGCCGCGTGTACCTGCAAATAAAGATTATAGGGATCTTATGAAGATGAGCGCCAACTGCAGTAGGCTACGGCAGCATTGTGGCATAATTGAAGTTATGTTATTCTTCCGCGTTAGAGCATATGCGCATTACATATTAACCATATATTCATTACAAATTCCAATTCTAAAGAGGAAGATTGAACAAGAAACAAATTGCTCACCTTTTGCAGTATGTATGGACAACACCGATGAACAGACTATTTATTTCCATATGTGTCCACTTATTTTCCAGACAACCATCAATAAATAACCAACCACCAAGTTGTTAGAGCACTTATAATATAGACAGAATGTTCTCCGGAGCAGACAAATAAGCAGATAATCCAAGCTCAACCACAGCAGAAATTCCTTCATTAGCAGTCTCAAGCATTTCAACTTGTGAACTAACGCACTCCAATCTGAAAATTGTTTGAGGATATGCTGGTCGATAAAGAAATCAAACATGTACCTATGAGGGTCCTCCTTTTTCGTGGGGATGGAAGCAGACCAAATGACCAAATAACAAGGGGAAATCACACGAAACACTAGTAAATTTTTGAGCACAAACAATATGACAGTTTAGTGACGACATGGAAGCCTTCCTAGTCTGCTGAAACTGAAAACAAAGATGAGCGATGAAACATGACAATACACGAACAGCATGTAAAGAAAGACATAGTACCACAAAAATATTATAATCACGAAAAAACAAGAATCAAAAGGTCCTGTAAGGCGCGTAGTGATGATGAAATCGCATGCTCACTATTGAATCTGACGGTATTCGTTTTTGTGCGCCTTCGCGCGCTTTTGCGGACGCGACCGGAAGCCAGCCGGTGGTAGTTTCTAGCCCGCTCCTCGGCCGGTTTTAGGCTCCGCCCCAAAACATGGCCCGGCTCTCGGCCGGAAGGCCGTCGTCGCCCGGTCACCAGCCGGAAAAAGTATCTGAGTACATGCGCGGACATGCGTTACTGCAGGGAATCCGCGCGGGACTCTTCCAAATTCGGCGACATATAGTCCTCCACGCCCTCCTAGGTAGTACTCAGACAATCGCCGGGGGCAGGCGGGCACCGGAAAAATAGACGACTGCTTTCTCGAATCCCGCTCGCGAATTTTTTGAGAGGCAATCAGGACTTTTCGGATCGTCGCTTGCTGAATTCTCGATTCCTCAGAGATTCAGCAATATATCTGCAAAAGATAAGAGCGAAAAAAGATTCAACAGGCGGTCTCTCAGAAATTCGCTAACTATTTTCCTGGGATTTGCGAGCGGGATGCGAAATTTCAACGCGTATTTTCCGGTGCCCGCCTGCCCCCGGCGATTGTCTGAGTAGATGTCCAGTGTAGTTCGGTGGTATTACTGGAGAGCATAGCCTTGGCTACCTGGCGCCAAAAGACGTTGATAGGCGTTTATACTCCTTTTGCATTGAAACGCTGTAACGTAGCACGTAATGTAATGGGCAGAATAAACTCTCAAAATTTCTAATTGATCATCTCATTTTTTATGAATCCTATTGCTAGTTTAACACCTAGAAACAATGGAAATTACTTATTTATCTAAGCCATTCAAAACTGAGTATCTAGAACCCCCTCATCAATGTTTACATTTCAGGTTGGATGCCAGAACTATACTTCTCTTGAGCTGACTGTGTGTTGCTGCAATACGGATCTGTGCAATCTTCCAGATTCCGAAAAGCCAACGAACGCCACCAGTACTGTGGAGCTAAGTCGACAACGACTACTAAAAGGAGTGAAGTTGCCAAAATCTAAAGTTTAAAAAACTGCCGCCTACAATAAAAAGCGTCTTTTGTTTTCGGGTCAATGCTTTATTTTGAGTCGTTCATTTTCAAAGTGTGCCATTCAAGTGATAGTAAACGATTTCATATAGCATACTTGCGCAAATATATAACGGGAGCAGTCTGTGATTAATCAAGCTTTTGTTATGTAGTAGATGAGCTATTTTTCATTTCGGACATAATTCGTGATACAAATTTGGTTGCAACTCAGCATGTACTCTATGTAACCTTTTGAGATAAGATCTGTTATTGTATGTACACTGCATTTTTTCAATGACCGGTCTTTAGTTGTTTGCTTTTGGGACGTGATAGAATTATGAGTCAACTTTCATTTATTTTCGCTTAAATTGGATGATCAGCTTGTGGATCTTGAAGTATCAGTATGTGTTGCTCGCAGGAGTTTGATTTGCACACCGTTGTGGGAGGATTATTTAATGAGTTTTGATCGCTGCACCGAAGCAGAAAGTAGGAAGGATACTAACTCGTACAAGCTACCCAACAAAACGATTGTTTGGATCCCGCGAACCTTCCAATTGATCGATAATTCAAAAGAGCCCAAATTTTGGAATATGCTTAGCCGAGGGAGCTTTTTGCTCACCGTCTTTTGCTTTTGATATTTGTTTTCCTTCTTTCTTTCTTTCTTTCTTTTTTTCTTTCTATTTTTCTTCCTTTTCTTCTATAAGCAACCTTCATATTTTATGTGGAGCAGATGTTCAAGCAACCTTCACTTATGACGCCCTCTCTTTAAATTATCGAAGAGTGAGAGTGGCTTGCACGGCGTGGTCTTGACATGCGTCGAGTGGAATAGTAATTTCAAACAGTCGAAGAGAAGTCAATTACTGTTAACACCGGTAAATTAATGTCCGTAATAATAGTGCTAACATGATAGCACCACTGCAACTCTGCTAGCAATGGTAACAGTTACATGGCCTAAGCTTAAATGCAGTGGCTCGGCAAAATTGAACATTCTGAATTTTGATGTTGTATGTTTTTTGCCTTTCCCTCCACCACCTCTCCTCCAATAAAATCAGAGCTAGTCCGCTCGCACGGCAGGTCTCTTGCTAAAAAAAATATTTTCCTTAAACCACTACGCGCATGATCTTGTGGGTGGGTTACGCAACAACTCTGCATCTCCATTTTGGCAGGAACTGTTCCGCTGTCCACATGTAAAATGAAGAGCCTTAGGATGGTCGTTTTCTCCATATTCACGCGCTTTAAGGTAAGTTTTTGGAATCAGTGCATTGAATAACCGATAAAAACCGATAAGCGAGAATAAACGAGGGTCGGTAGTAATCTGGTCGAAACTCCGAGTTTGAAGCTCCGCGTTTACTCAGAGATAACTCTGAGTTCCGTTTCTGAAACTCTGAGTTACGCTTATTGGAACTCTGAGTTCCGCTTTCGTAATTCCGAATTCCAACTCTCAAGCTCGGAGTTTTGCTTTGAGGAGCTGTTAAGCACTTTGCTGCAAAAGCGACGTTAAAGTAGGGACTCGAACCTGTATGGTCTAGCGTAAAGATCCTATCACTAAACCGCTAGACCATGACACACCCACGAACCCTAAAATTGCTTTGCCATAATGTACTCACTCATTCCATTAACACTTAGCAGGTCAAAACAAGTTATACCAAAACCCCATTTCCATTTCTATAGGGCAGTGATGGTTCATCACGAGGATTGGTCTTTTGCGCAGCTGAAAGCTTCAAACAATAGAGAAAGCTGATGGCATACGCAATTGTAAGAATTGACTATTATGATTTGCGCACAGAATAAATCCTCCGGGCAAAGTTTGCCCTTCCATGATTTCGTCTTACTTACCATATACCTACCGTAACCGTTCCATATGTCACCAGTATATGTAGCAGATAGATTGTCCTTAATCTACATCCCGAATAACTCCAGTGTACCAAATTTCGGCAAATTCCGCGCTTTAATTCATCTACCGTAAACCTACCGTAGCCCCTTCAGATGACACTGCAGTATAAACACGTCATATTCGTTATCGGCGCCCCGAATAACCCCAGTGTACCAAGTTTCGATTAGTTTCGTGATTTTCTCCCATCTACCGTAAACCTACCGTAACACCTCTACATGACCCCTTAGTAAAAGATGGGTACCATATGCGTGATTAGCGCACCGAATAACCCCCTGGGCCAAGTTTTTACAAAATTTCAAAATTTTGTAAATCACTGCGCACCACGATATCCCCATCATGCCTGCTTGAATTACGAGCAAAATGTACCCCGGAGGACTTTTTAGCTGCCCCTCTTCTTTTGCGCACTATTTCTCTTTCTCTGGCCAAACTCAGAGTTATCTCTGAGTTCCACGATAGACTGGAACACGCATCAAACTCAGAGTCATCGCAGACACTAGTTGCGCGTTTGGTGGCGCTGTTTCTTGTGCAGGACGATTTGGACAATGTTGCGCTACTAGGAATAAACTACGTGTTAAGGAGAATCCTGCCATATCATCGCTTTCCGGATATGATCTGTTCAAACACCTGTTAAGGGGGTCAAAATGTTGCGCGTTAGCTCAGAGATAACTCAGAGTTAACTCTGAGTTATAACTCTGAGTTTCGATAAGTTTACTACCGACCCAGGAATTTTTAGGCAGGGAATTTGCTCAACCGCTGCCTTTTAGGTGTCGTTAATGAAAATATTATTAACAACCTGTCTTCGATTATGTGAATGTATTCATTTCTATCATGGACAAGTTGCAGATTGTCCATGCACCTGTTTAGCCATTGGATCATCCTCATGACCCTCTAATGCACTCGGCGGAGCCCATTTTTCTAGGCAAAACTTTTACTGCTTGATAGCATTTCTTACCAGAAGTTGGTATCCAGTCTATACACTCCCAATTTGGCTATGTAAAAGAGCCTGGATACCAAGTTCTGGAGCTGTCACTATTGCCGTTATCGCCCAGTCGCTCGTCTATTCGATTAATAAGTAGTTGTGCCACCCAATTGATTTTAGCAAATGAGGATTGTAAAACCAAGATACCAAGATACCAAGTTGACCACCATGAAGTGAGAGTATGTGAAATGGAATGGTTTATTATCAGACAGTTGTTCCTTATCAACCAAATAATCAATAACGAAATAATCCCCTCCTCCACCGCAAAGCATTTTTGGGACCACTGTGCATAGACGAACCTGATCTGACATAAACAGGGGAGATTTGAGCCAATAAAAAGTGGACATAATGTCAAGTTTACACCACAGTATTCGATGCATGTGTTGCAGGCAGTGTTCTGTCCGATTAAGAGTAGGACCAGAATGATTGTGATACACTGAAGACGCAGATATGGGTATTTCGCGTACTCTAACAAAGGAAAGATGGTTAATCGAAGGTAGCGTTCTGAGATGGTGTATACTAATTTGAGGCATCAAAAGCTGATTCCAAATTCTTTCTTATCTGCGCAGTGCTCCTACGCGAGGAGTTATGAGCGCATTTAAGAGAAATTGAATGTGCAAATGGAATAAAAATGGTTGTGACATGTTTCCTAGCGCTTAAATCAAGCCGTGGTAATTATCAGAGCACTTCATGGAAAATTCTTAGATGAATATCCACATTCATACCTTCGATAGTCTAGAGAGAGGGCATCAAAAGTGGTTGTTTGAATATCTAACCTCATAAAAAGTGAAGGTTGTTTATAGAACATCAAAGAAAAGAAAATGGCGTAAAATAGATTCAAAAAGCAAAAGAAACTGCTGAAAACCGGATCAAAACGCTGCAATGGGGTTTGGAATCTTTCATTTGGCGGCTTTCCAAAGTGCAAGTTTTCCAGGACCAGCAAGTCGCAAAACGGGCAAAACGAAGGAAAGCTGATTTTTCTTTTTGTGATTGTTTCAAAAAAACATGTTTCGGAAGGAGTGGTCATCAAGAAGAAGATAAACAAGAAAGAAATTAGTTATGGAAACGCAAAGACTTTTTTACTAAATCGAAAAGAACGTCGAAGCCAATTTTAATTTTTGGTGCGTCCTTTAAACTTTTACCCCCGCAATGACGTTCCTGTTTCCTGGGATGTTGCCTGGATTGTTGCGCCTATTGTTCTGAGCAATAATCGCCCAAGCTGAAAAAAACGCTGCGAAAGCACTGAAACAGAACAAGGTGAAGAAAAACGCACTTTTTACAATTTTTCACAAAAAATTCCGCCATAATCGAAGAGATAAGACTGGGTCGTTGGCTTCCTTATGAACAAAGGCAAGACCTATAAAATGCACGAAAAAACCGCTTGCAAAGAGTGAACTAGAAAACAAGAGATTTTCGAAAACAAGATATTTCCCGAATTTCGTGTTCAAGTCAAAAATTGTGGTCTTGGGACGTTATCAGCGTGAAAGTAGAGATCAAGAGCTTCTATATGATATATAGATTGCTGAAACTGGGCTCGAAACAACGAAGAAAAGGGTGCCAGGGCCAAATGCCCTTCGTCCCGCGCTTGGGGTAGTGAGGTAGCGCGCAGCGCCGGAAACGCAGACGAGCAGCGGAGACAGACCAGAGCCAACGGAGCATTTGGCTCTGGTCGTAAATCTCCGCGGCGTCTGAATGAAACCCTGCAACATTATATGTCATTCTGATCGCCGTGACACAACGAGGAGCACTGACAACGTCACAAGCTGTGAAAATCACTCATTAACGAGATACCAGCATTCGTGCGCGACTCGCGATTCTCGCAAAGCTTGAGCGCAGTTTCTCGTTTTTATTTAACTCCAATAGCTTTCCTAAACTTCTGAAAGTTGATTTCGGCCAAATAACAGGTTAACTGAAAAATGTTGCCCTAAATTTTGGGGAAACTTTCACAAAAACCTTCTTTTTAGCGTAAAAAGGGCTATAAAAACGCAAATTCTTGGTTTCGCTGAGATAATCTAAAGATATTCTTCCCTAGGTTTTCATTCACATTCGTTCCGATATATTCAGAATAATAACATTTGGGGAGAAGCCCCGGATGACTTCTGTTTTTCTTTCAGGTGAAGGTTGTGTCCTCTCATGGCCCACAAAGTGAAGCTTACCAGAGTACCTGGATGCGAGATAATACAGATAATACAGATACCCTCGATATGTA